CCCGAATCTTTGTCTAGACTCTATCTATAATGTTAAATAACGTTATTATTTCTTAAGTTGATTTGTTATTGACCTGTACATATATGTGAAATACATTTACAGTCATATGTTCATATAGATACATATACAATCAACTTTATGATAATGTTCAAGTGGTGGTTTTACTATTCATATCATTCTTGATTGAAATCAATCTCTATCTTATCGACCGATTTTAACTATACAGTACTAAACATGCTTCCTACGATCCAACGAATTGATTTCGATTTTGTTATAATTTATGGCCTTGTGCCCTATTAATACATACACGTAATGATACCGCCAATTAGAGAACAGAGATGTGTCGTCCGAATCAATGACATATAAACCCGTAAGAGCTGTTTAGAGTCTTTATCAGTTCTTTTTTATGACTAGCCCTGCCTGTTGAGTTCAGGACATCAATCTCAGCCTCTGCGATATGAATCATTTGTTCCAAACATACTGGGTTTATATACAAATCAAATAGACCACTGTTATAACTTGTGAACCTGTGTGCCCTGTTTACTGTATAACGAAACGAGAGAGAGCAGCGAACTGTCGATCGAACCAGTGACGCATAAAACACGTGGGAGCACCCTAGAGTCCTGATTGGTCCTGCTTTCCGCCCAGCCAGTTGAGTCCAGAACCCCAATCTCAGCCTCTGCAATATGAATCATTTATTCCAAACATACTCGGTCTATATATCAACCAGACAGACCGCAACGTATCATAAAATATGAAACAATATTTGTACAAGAATTAGCTAAATGTGGCTGTAAAACTATTCGTTCTAATCTTGACGAATGTTCGTATAAATGAATATGCATAATTTAGTTACTTATTTATTTATTTATTTAGTTAAACACATAAACATTGGTACAAGAAGGTACCGAATGGATATGCGCAACGTAAATCATTCGATTTATGTGAGGACCGGGATGCTGCCCGGGCGCCAAAATCGATGGAGGTGGTTTTTTCAGGGGGTTACACCGGAAGCCTTTGACTTAAAGATCTGATCCACAAGGCAATGGAGCAACGTTAGGCGATGCAATCCCATTGTAGCCGATGACCAACAATTGGTTCATACACCATTTATTCCTTCAGGATCCCGAAGCCTATGTGCACGATTGGTTTGGAATGACGGTTTTCCAACTCTTTTAGATAGATTCTCTGTTTTCACCAAACCGGTTAAAGAGCTGGACATTCGCTTTTCTTCCTCTCAATTTCGTAAACAACGGTAATACTGTGAGAAGGCAGTGAGTAAGATTTCTCTTTAGTGATTGTATGCACGTAGCCACTTGAGAGCATTTGGAGAAGGAGAGCTGACTCTCCCTACTCTTGGTCGTACCATGCCATTTGTGGGCTTAATTACTTAACAATTATACAATATGAATATATATAATATTAGTCGATAAATAGATCCCAATAGTTACCATTCATTATTGTCATCGGAATATATCAGATTTATTGTCTTAACAATTATGAATGATGAAAAAAGAAGATCTACTCATCTGGATCATACATATTAGAGACTACAAAGAGTTCATCAATAATCAATGTTATACTTTTTCCCATTTATTTATTTTCATTCTCTTTTTTTTTTGTTACTGATTTGTCTCTGTCAATTAACTAGGTAACATAGTTGTTATTGTTGTTGTTTGTCGCTTCATGATTCTCATTGTTAATGTGTCCCACCTCCTTCTTTATACCAAATTGTCGACATTATCATCATTATCTTTTAAATTTATTTCTCAATCATCACCACCATCATTATCAGTAAATTGTTTCTTTATAAAAAGGAAAATGTATTTCATCATTTACTTTCATCGATTTTTGATTCTTTTTTTATTATTTTCCTTTATCTCTTATTGCCAAGAGACTAAATATGAGCAGGCATACAATAAAAATACATTTTGATTGGATAAATTATGATAAAAGGAATATACATATATGTGTATATGTTTAAGCATAAATCAATACCTTTATCCCTTATCGTTATTTTTTTTTTTATACCATAGAATGATAAATTATTTTCTAGTGAAAACATAAATTATCCCATCTTTTACTGATCATAACCAAATTGATTTAAATCAAAGAAGGGTTTTTTTTAATGGATATTATAATAATTTTTAATAGTTGGATGAGTCAATTGAAGCTAGACCATCATGGGAAATCTGAAAGCACTGAATGGGACTCTTTAACAATGCACATCCATGATTTTGCCTCGCGAGATTCGACGCCAGGACATATCAGTCTCACGCGCGACAGCACTAGACCACTGATTTGGTATCCAACGGTGTTCATACTTGGCTTAACCAATCCACAAAATTGCGCCACCATCCATTACTATCATCAGTGAGTTAATATCTCACATCAGACGCAGTGGAACTCCACTGGTCACTGCTTCTCACTAGAACGCCGAGAAATACCTCTTGGAGACTGTCACTAGTTATCGTACGATGATTATTATGAGAAGGAATTTTGTGGATATTGTGGTAATTTTTAATAGTTAAGATCATGTGTCAATTGAAGCTAGGCCATCATGGGAAATCTGAAAGCACTGGATGGCCGTTTCGTCTTAGTATAGGACTCTTTAGCAATGCACATCGACGATCTCGCCTCGCGAGGTTCGAAGCCAGGACATATCAGTCTCGCACGCGACAGCGCCTAACCGCTGATTCGGTATCCAACGGTGTTAATGTATAACTTCAATCAATCCACAAAGTTGCGCCACCATTCATGATTGTCATCAATGAAATACTATCTCACAACAAACGGTCGTTCAGTGCTTCCAGGTTTTCCATGGTGATCTAACTTTAATTGATTCATAAATTCAACTATTAAATGAAGGAAATTTGGTTCAAAATATGATTGGTCACTAGTTGGTTTTTATTATAACTCAATCAGCTGATTCTTTAAAAATATTTCACTATGTTGTACTTTAGTTATTCGAAGGATCATCATTACTTTCAGTTTTCATTGAAATCCGTTATGTAAGGTTACATTTATTCTCCTTAGAACTGAATATTGTAGACTGTCTGATTTATGGATCTCATTAAGTTCACTTATTAGTTTGTATGTAGTCTATACAACTTCTGGAAATATATCCATCCATAAACATTATACTGAATTGTTAGAAATCTTTATTCTACAGACTGTTTGTTAATTCATACGATAAACTGACTATTAACTTGTTTACCAGTTACAAATTAACGGATTCGACTTCAAGTTGTACTTCAGTTGTGAAAGCTAATGATAGTACCCAGTTGTTTTAGCCAAAGTAGATGAAACAGGGTTCGAAGTCAAACATCTTAGTCATTGAATTACCACCTAACGTTTAATTAAAAACAATCGGTTTCTTTATTTTAATTGAATGTTAAACAGATAATCTAAAAGAGAAGTTGTTTTGTAGTTTGGTCTTCATTATACGTCATCATTGTTTAATCATTTCTCGACTTCGGCTATCGTTTTACTTTTATGAAAGTTAAGATTTTTTTGCACAAATGAGATAAAAGTTGACAAAATCTCGTCTCTCTTCCGCACAGAAGAATGTCATACTTGATTCATGCTTAAACAAAATCACATCGTTTTTTAATACACCTAGTGCTTTTATTCATTAGCCATTAATCCTTCTAATGCGGCAGTACCAACTTACACATCCACAAGCACTCATATGGTCAGGTTGTTTTGTTTTTTCTGTGTAACTTTTATTATTTATGTGAGGGAGTTTCAAACGGGTTAACGTTTCATTATGGTATAAAACTTTTTCACACCCTGCAACTACGACCACACTAGGGATCGGACGGACCCTGGACCACGTCTCATTGCGAGCTTTGGCTTTTAAACCTTTGAGTAGGAATCCAATGAATTACGTTTCAAGCTACAATCATTTCACGGTATTGCTCAACCTAGCTATATCTTATGCCATCGGACATTGTTAAAACCCTTCTGGTCACGAATTCTTACTAGAACTCAGTAGATTACCTCCTAAAATTAGTCACTAGTACGCATATGTCTAATATTAACATGAGGGGTTTGGAAAGATTTCTTTCTAAGTCACGGTTTTGTACTACTGGCTTGTTGGGTTTGGGCTATTGTATCAAAACAGGACAATTATAAGTGATCTTCGTGTGTGTGTGTGTGTGTGTGTGAGAGAGAGAGAGAGAGAGAGAAGGGAGTGATGTGAAAGAATGTTTTTATTTGGAAAGAATTACATTTATTAAATGATACTTACATGAAGTTGGGTTTCGTCGCATAGTAATAACAACATCAAAAACCAGGCACACTTAGTTGATGAGGTTGTAAGTTTTCATAAACTGAGATCGTTGGGCCACTTGTTATATATGCTTGAGCACCGCTTACCACAACGCACAATGCTGACTAGTGTTGGGTATGGTTGTAAGGAAGTTAGTAGCGGCCAAATCAAAACATTGCATCAGTTCATAAAATCACTAACTTGTGTTGTGAGCCATCTTGATAGATGCAGACTACTTGATTGGGGCTCACGCGACCAAGTAACCAATGGTTGGAGACTGTGTATGACATCTTCCCTTAAACAGTGGGATTAAAATTATTTTATACCTTTCTTTCTACGAGCTAATTCTTTCTTCCTGTGTCATATCCTTATATGCAATCTTTCTTTTATATATTACTACCATTGAAGTGACTACTTATATGAATTCCGTGTTCATCTTATTGTGCTAATGAAGGTGTGACAACTTATATGTGCCTGGTCTTAGGTTGTAGCTGACTGATTAACTAAAGGTACACTTTAAAACAATTGTTTTATCCTAAAATGGAACTCATCAGCTATTCACACTTTATCATCCTTTGATGAAGACCATCTTGTGCTTAAACTAACCTCTTCGAATTTTTCAACTAAAGAGTTAACGAGATTAATTATTTATCTGTTATATCATCAAAATATATACATTTTTTGAAATTTTCATTAATATTTTCTTTTGTTTTTTATTGAATACTAGGGAATTAATGTCTTTATTAAGACAATTGAAATTTGCTCAAAAATTCGCTTGGTTATCAGGGTAAGTTTAGTCAGCATTGTTTTTGTTGTTGTTGTTGTGTTGTTTGTTTTTACAAACAACAATAACGTGGCATCAGTGTTTGAAGTCAGTAACTTCTAGTCTGAGCCATGTTGTTATATGCAGACTACTTGGTTGAGGTCCACATGACTATCGTAATTATTGGTTGGTAACTCTAGGTGAGATGTCTCGGTTTCGACCACAATGGCGTAGGTTTGTTTACTCTATATTTTCCGTTTAACTATGAGGTTAAAATCGCTTCATATCTTTCATTCTTCCTGTACTATATCCTCATATGCAAATTCCCTTTTATATGTTACCACCACTGAATTAACTACTTCTATGAATTTGGTGTTCATCTTGCTGTGCTAATGAGGTATGGCAATTTGGACCAATGCCTGGTCTTACGTTGTAGCTGACTGACTGACTGTTTGTTCCTGTTGTTATTTTGTTAACCTGTAATTGTTAATATTTTCACTAACTTAGTTACTATCATTGATAATGACACTGATTAACTTTTTAGTATTCCTTTTTGAAAGTATCTTTTTTAATCATTAAGAATGTGTTCCAGAGAAGTATCATTATTTATCCTTGTTTGTTATGTCCAATGACCCGTCAAACATTACATGACAAACTCATCAATCAGAATACCGACTTATATAACCTTGTCCGTGTTCTAGACCTGTTCGTTCAATCCAGAATACAAATATCAGCCTTCGCTGTATAAATCGTATATTTCTGACTTAAGGTAGTTTATATACAAGTGGACCAGACTTCATTACACCATAAAATGAAAAAATATTAGTTATATAAGATTAAACCAAAAGTGGCCATGAGTATAAGAGACTTTAGTGAATAAATTGAGAATAGTAAATCGTATAACTGTTGACAATAGGCCATATAAAAGCTTATATATATTCCTTACTTCTTTGCCAGTGCAACTTATCCACCCAAATGTTTAACTTAATCAATCGTTGAAGCAAATGTGTAAAGCCATAGATTGATCTCGGTTGGTATACGATTAAAAACTAGGAAATATTGGACAGTTGTTTTGTTCTATTATGGGGCCCATCAACTGTGCTTGTCCAAACCCTTTCCAATTAGAATATAATTGTTATCTCATTAGTGATTTATGTCAGGTTGTTTTTGAAATTTAGAAAGCGGAAGTAAATTCGTTCTTATCAATGATATTCAGTTTCTGTACTATTACATCTCGAATAGATTGAAGCAGAAATTATCCCATTCTACAATAAATTAGTGGTTCTAATGGATAAGGGTTCGCTGTATAACTAACTCCTGAGTTCTCTCGCTGATTGCATCATAAGTGTCTATTACTGTGAAAAATTATGTATTATGATGAAACAACTCACTCCTCAGTTTTCGGCGATATTTCAATTAAGATGAATACATTTTCTAAATCAAAATATTCTTCACAAAATAATTTGAACTGAATAATGATATATAATTTGCCATTAATAATTAAAAATATGAACTGGGAACACGTCCCAGTTTGGTTTTACAAGGGCGATAAGAAGGCAGTTAGGAGTTCTGTACTTGAACACTTCATCGACTGTAATCATTCTACGGATTCACAGTTTGATTTTAAGGTTGTTTTTACGATTCGTTCAACTCTACCTAGATTTCTTCGTATCCAACTCCTAAAAATTATTATTATTATTATTATTATTATTATTATTATTATTATTATTATTAAGATTATTGATGTTTATTTGAACACATAAATACTGGTAGAGAGGGGCACCGGATACATATGCGCCACACAAGTCTCACTTGGTTTGTGTGAGGGCTGTGATACTGTCCGGTTGCCCAAGCCGAGGCAGGTAGTTTTCTTAGGGGTTCACACTGCAAACCTTTGATTTAGACGTCTGATCCACAAGGCGTTGGAGCAACGTCAAAAGATGCAGTCACATAGTAGCCGGTGACCAACGATTGGTTCATACGCCATTTGTTCCCGCAGGATACTAGTGCCCATATGCACGATTGGTTTGGAATGAGGGTTTTCCAATTCCTTTAGATGGACTCTCCATCTCCACCAACCCGGTTAAATCACTGGACATTCGCTTTTGGACTCTCCCTACTCTCTGCCGTACCACGGCATTTGGGAGCCCCTAAAAAAAATACTCGAAGCTCTTACCATCCATGAGCTCAAGCCAGAACTATACGTACTAAAGAATTGCGTCCTATCGTTATCGTTATCTTGGTCTTTATTATTATGATTATTATTGTTATGGTCATTATTATTATTATTATTATTACTGCATTCGCCCCTCACTTATGTCTCATATTCTCATTATTTTATTCGTAAGTACTCATCCGGTTATAAGTCATCATTGTTCGTATTACGTAATCTAGTAGTACAATCTTTCTATTATGTGATGTTGGTTGTTCGTGTTCACATTTTCTCTTGGAACTAGTACTTTAACAAAAAAGATTTCATATATATATGATTGTATAACTCGTTGAAAAGAGATCCTTTCGCTGAACTTTGTGTTTTTAATTTTTTAATGTTTAAATGGGAATTATCTGTCAATTGAAAAGATACCAGGACTTGATGACAATGAAAGAACTTAATAGGTTCTTATGTTACACTATAAGATCAATAATTTTACTCAAGATTTGAATCAATAATCACTAACATTTCATCAGAGAAGCTGAATACGCTTCATAGTCAATGTATATTCTATAGATCCAATAATATTCATATAATATTACTTTCTTTTTATTATTATTATTATTGGTGTTCTTATTATTCATTTAGAGCTTCTGTACTTCCAACAGGATTATCTGCATTGACTAATATCCAATCAAATAAATTAACTAGTAACAATAATAATGATAATAATTTGGATCATCATTGTCAATCTTTAACTAATGGAATAACAAATGAACTATATACAAAAACCGATACTTTGAATATAATGAAAGATTCTTCTATTATTAAAACAATGAAACAAGATAAAATCGATCAAATTGATGATCAGAAAGATGTAATGAAGTTAGATACTACTATCATTTCTAATGTTGTTACTACTACTACTACTACTCATGATCATGATGAAGATAAAAAATCGATTAATGGAGGAATTACATTCATAAAACATAATCATTTAAACAATAATTCGATTTTACTTAATGGAGATAATTCTAAATTGAATCAAATGAATGGAAAATTGAATGATATACAAAATGATGATCATATTGATGATGATGATGTTGTTGTTAATATAAAGAATGGTAAAATTGATAATTCATTTGTTGAACAAAAACAAAATGGACTTGTATATGATAAAACAGACGTTATCATAAATGGTCAAGTGAGTTGTTATTCTTTTTGACCACTATAAAAGCAATAATGTGAGCATGTTCGAGATACGATTCTCCCCGCCTTGAAATACAAAATGTTACTTCAGGATTGGGTTGTATCGACATCCGAACTTAATGATAGGGAGTGAAATAGTTGAGCGTGTTGACCGCTTCACTTATCTTGGGAGTCTCATCAGTCCTTGTGGTCTGGTGTGTGACGAAATCTCAGCACGAATACAGAAGTCTCGACTAGCTTTTGCCAACTTGCGTCATTTATGGCGTAGACGAGGTATCCATCTACCAACCAAAGGACGAGTTTACTGTGCAGCAGTTCGTTCCGTCCTACTTTATGGCAGCTCAGAGAACAAATCTCCATCAAAAACACAAAGTGCTCAGGAACGTAATCCTATTGGTTGAGGACGCTGAGAATACAGTTCCTTGAATACCTTGAGTAACAATACAAGTTTGCTTGAGATTCGTTTCTCCCTATCTACATGCAAAATATTAATTTAGGTCTGGTGTGTATCAACACCTAGACAAATGTTGATCACTTCATTTTTCCTAGAATTCTTATCAGCCTTGGTCGCTTGTCTGACGGAATTGACTCAGGAATCGTGGTTGACTCTTGAAAGCCAATGTCATTTGTGGCGTTTGCAATTAATCCCAAAGACACATGGTCCGATTTCAGATAAGTCTGGGTGCGCACTGCCAAGGAGTTCCATAGCAGAACTTGTCAGACTTGATAACCAAATAATTATTTAATTATATACTCTGCGTAAGAAGAATAAATCATTTTGAACTAATTGAAACCATCAAATGTAATCTGTTTTTAATTTCACTAATATGTCAGTTTGTCTCAGCTAGGTTGATTGTTTGCTCATTGAGTGAGTAGCCAATAATGTTTTTATGTAGCTCTTCAGTTCTGATCGAATTATGTCTTTATTTATTTTATTTATTTAAACACATAAACATTGGTACAAGGAGGCACCAGATACATATGCGCCACACAAATCTCATTTAATTTTTGGGAGGGCTGTGATACTGCTCGAGTGCCTAAACCGAAGCAGGTAGTTTTCTTAGGGGGCCACACCCCGAGCCTTTGACCTGGAGGTCTGATCCACAAGACAGTGGGGCATTGTGCGAAGACCTAGTCCCATGGTAACAGGTGACCAACGATTGGTTCATACGCCATTTTTTCCTTCAGGATACTGGAGCCAGCTCATGTGCACCATTGGTTTGGAATCCGGTTAAAGCGCCGGACATTCGTTCTTCGCCCTCTCAATTTCGTAAACAACAGTAATGCTGTGAGAAGGCAGTGAGTAGGACTTCATTGGCAGAGGCTTTATACGCGTGGCTGTGTGAGAGCATTTGGAGAGGGAGGGCGGGCCCACTCCACTCTTGGCCATACCAGGACATCAATCCTATCGTAATATAACTATTAGTCTGAATGATTTGACCTCTCGTGTACCATATTAGGATATTATGTATAATGTTGGACTCGAAATAACTTCACTCAGCTTTAGGTTTTTAGACTGTCTTACAGACCACGACTGACTTCTTGTAAGATTGAGGTGTCTCCATTAATTAGTAACATCCAACCCACGCTGAAGGACTACACAAGCATGACCTTGATCACTTCTAACTGATAAATCAATGATAATGATTCAGTCCTACAAGGGATTAGTTGTAATTCAAGTAGTTCGGTGTTAACCTCTTAGATTGTAACTGAGTGATGCAAGTTTGAATACCAAAGGGAGCGTCAGTTCCATCTAGATTTCAGGTACGCCTTTCTGACGTATGCCAACTAGCATAATACTTAGGTTTAAAATTTCCTGTTGACTAACTCCAATTATTTGTCATTGATAAGTTTGCTTAGAACAATTATTAAATCATTGTGTTCATTCAATGTTGTTTATAAGAGAATTCTCGAATTATTTTCTTTATAGATAAATGATAGTTTTGATGGTAGTGAATTACCATTATTTGCGAAAGATAATACAGTATTGGATAATGATTCATCAATAAAATCTGATATGAAACTAAATCTGGAAGCTATATCTGCTACCTATAAACCGGATAATATTAGTTTATCTACCAAGCATACGATTGATATACCTACTCCTATTATTACGACTGCCGTTTGTAGTAATATTCAACCACATTCTCCTGCTGTTAGTAATACACTTACTACACGAACTGTTACAACAGATAATCATCTGAAGTTATTAATGATGAATATGAAAGATTATGTACAAGTATCTAGTTCATTACCGTCAACTCCTATGTCATCGTCTTTTGTACCAGCTAGTTTCAATGTTATTCCTACTATTGATAATAATAATAATAACGACAAAACGAAATCAGAAAGTGATTTTCAGACAGTAAGTTTTTTAAATAGTTTTTTTTTTAATACTATGCTTTGCTATTCGGAGTGAAGTGTTATGCTGAATCTCTCCGGTCCAGTTACTTCAATATAGACAACTAGATAGTAGTATGAATAGTTCGTAAATTATGAATTAGAGCCTAATTTACGAATCTCTACATAGTTGCTGAATCGAATAAATAGAACTAGGTACTTACTGACCGAAACATCTCAATATTAGCCACTTGGTTACAGGTTGGACACCAATTTCATCTACTTCAACTAGGTGTTTAGTTTTCATGCATTAATAAAACTTACATTAAACATGTGACTGAAATGAATATGAACCAAAGAAGATAGATATTAGAAATAATGTAAATCTTATACAATTGAATCGTAAAACTAATAAACATTAATAATACTCATATATGTCTGTGTTCAGATCAGTTTCATCATATAGAGAATTGATGTGAAACTTATGATCCACCAAATAGTTAAGGTAAATGAGAGTATATTGTTTTCTATAACTGTTTATTGTTAATTATACAAATGAAGATACTGTTTTACATCACGACTACAAAATTTATGTACGATATTTATTCAGAATTGATTGTCTTCATTTATATATTGAAACACGTAAATATTGGTACAAGGAGGCACCAAATAAATCATTCGATTTATGTGAGGGCTAGGATACTGACCGGCTGCCAAAGTCAAAGCAGCTGGTTTACTTTAGGGGGTCACATCCCAAGCCTTTGACTTAAAGGTTTAATCCACGAGGCAGCAGAGCAACTTTAGAGGATGTAGTTTCATGGTTTGGAACCAGGGTTTTCCAACTCCTCTAGGTGGATTCTCCACATCCACCAACCGGGTTGAAGCTACGGACATTCAGTTTTCGTGCTTTCAAGTTTGTAAATAACAGCGATTCCGCGAGAAGTTGGTGAGTAATACTTCCCTGTTAGTTGATCGTATGCACGTGACCACTTGAGAGGATTTCGAGAGGGAGAGCTGACTCTCCTCACTCTCAGCCGTGCCAGGGTATATTCCAAATGCAATAATGATTTATTTTAACAGGTTTAGATATTGTTCTGTTAATTTGCCTGAAAAGATACCATGTCAAGCGAAATCAATTTATACAAGCTAGTCCCCATGAGAATTCCAAGAAGGTTCTGTTCAACATTTAGTGAATTTATGAGCTGATGCAACTATTTCTGGCTTAATCCCATCTAGCTTTCTTGCAACTTACTTTCATACCAACATAATTCACACGTTGAGGTAGACAAGGGTGGGCGGTGGTGGTTAAGGGATACTTAACACGTATCCAAACCATCTTAGTTTGATGAAGAATTACTTGCTCCTAAATTGATTTTTTACATTTGCATAGAAACCTATTAATTACATATATTTGTTAATTTTTTGACTGACCAAATAGATATTCGATGATCATTTTATGATTAATTTTTATTTTCTGTTTATTTTTATTAATAGACTAAACTATCCGAATTGGAGAAACAAGATATTGCTTATAATAAAGATAATCTTTCTGTTAAGAATTACACATCTCTACCATCAGGCACAAGTACTGCATATCCTTCAGATGTAGTAATAACAACAAAATGTACAACTACCACAGGGACAATAGATTTAATATGTTCTAAATCAACCATCATAGGAAACACACATGCTACTTATCCTATCAGTAGTAGTATCATTACTACTACTTCACCGACTATTGGTTGTTAACAAAACCAGCACCAATATCTATATCCACTGATATTCATCCTATCGACAGTGATGATATAGAAGTAGATGATATTGTTTATAGTAATATATCAAATGAAGGGAAATCTCATATTGGTGGATCATTACAATTGATACCTCAAAGAAAAGAAAAGAATACGAATAGGAAAAAATTATTTTATCGGTCTAGTTTATCACCTTGTTCAGATATTCATCCATTTCCATCATCGACATCACTTGTAACAGGTTCTTTACCAAAACAAGATGATCAAGAGATATGCAGTAACGATTATCAGAAAATAGCTAGCAATGTTATTCCACCGTCAACTTTACTAACAACACCAATCACAGATACAGAAACCATTAGAACTACCGCATCAATATCATATCTACCTTCAAATCAGCCTCTGGCATTGCAACCTCATTTAAAGATGGTTTCCAGTATAGAATTGAGTGGTAACTTAAACGGTAATGATAATAATAATAATCGATCCCACAACGACAACTTCTCAAAAGATTCACCACTTGTTTCATCAGTGAAACTACATAGACGTGTACCTGCCCCTACTGTTACTTCGGTTGTTCTTAATAATAGTGATACGATCGCTACTACAATATCGAAAATCGCCACTTCACCCGCTTTAATTTCTTCTGTTATAAATCCTGTTAAGGCAAATGAGACGAAAATATCACGTTCATCTATGATTGAATTAATAAGTTGTCCTAATAAGGATGTGTCCTACCCAGGTCAAATAGTCATCGATTCCTCCACCACTCCCTTCGCTGACATCTTCAACACCACTATCTAAACCACAAGGAAATGTAAGGTTTTACTTTATATATCGTTTTACCAATGGTTATTATGCATTATTAATCACTTTTCATTACTAAGCTTTAAACTACAGATTTTCACCTAACATTAAATCCATACTACAGCCTACTTATTCAATTAAGTGTTTCATTCCACTAGGTAGTATGTACAAATGTAGTATATTGAGAAATGAATTTCGGACTATATTTTTTACATCATGGTTTAACTCTAATTAATATTAGAAGGGGTTTTTGTGGATACTATAGTAATTTCAATAGTTGAGATCATGAGTCAATCGAAGCTAAACCACCACGGAAAATCTGGAAGTACTGGACGGCCGTTTTGTCCTGGCATGAGACTCTTGAGTAGAGCGCATGCACGATCCCGCCTCGGGAGATTCGAAACTAGGACCTATCAGTCTCGCGCTCGTTCGCTTAACTACTAGATCAACCTTTGGGATCCAGGTAGCATGATATAGCTGCTTTGACCTGGAATAGACCTTCTCATGCATACATTCATGATCCCACGATGTATCGAACCCAGCACGCTAATGTTTTGCGAAAATACTTAACATCACACCATTGACTTTCTATCCGATGGGTCACGCTAATTAAGTATCTCAAATAAGAATGAAGTAGCTTACTAGTGCTTCCTGATTTTTCCAGTTATCTAACCAAAATTAGTTTGTGAAGTGAAACTTTAAATTCAGAAATCTCTACAACAGTTTATAATAATAAAATTATGTTTCATACTTTTCGTAAATAATAATATTGATTAGATTCTATCCAAACTGAAAATGCATCAGTTGCTGCTGATCTTTCCAAATTTATTTCAACAATAGTCAGAGTTGTTAGTTATTGGGGATAGTCAATGATGAGACCAGAAAATCCAAGTCATATATATTATAGTTTGAAGAAAAGGAAGAACTTCGTTTAAACTATAATTGACATTAGATTAACTAATCAATATTATATGTGATGTGCTGAATTTCAGTTGTCGTTCGTTCGAAATTTTTTGTTGTATGATATTTGTCTTAAGATTTCTAAGTATTTCATTCTGGTTGATAAAACTTTTATGATATTATTAATTGTAACTATATTGTAGGCAGAAGTTGCTTTTATAAATCACTGAACTCTTAGATAGTGGGGACAATATAGACTGCCGTGGTATGGCTGAGGGTGGGGAGAGTTAGCTCTCCTCTCCAAATGCTCTCACATGGACACGTGCATACAACCACTACCAGGGAGGTCCCACTCATTGCATTATCGCGGTATTACTGTTGTTTACAAAATTGGGAGGTCGAAAGCGAATGTCCGGCGCTTTATCCGGGTTGGTGGATATGGAAGGTCCACCTAGAGGAGTTGGAAAACCCTCATTCCAAACCAATGGTGTACATGTGCTCCAGTATCTTGAAGGGACAAATGGCGTATGAACCAATCGTTGGTCATCGGCTACCATGGGACTGCATCTACTGATGTTGCTCCACTGCCTTGTGAATCAGACTTTTAGGTCGAAGGCTCCGGGTGTGGCCTCTTAAGAAAATCACCTGCTTCGGTTTAGGCATCAGGGCAGTATCAGTCAGCTACAACCTAGGACCAGGCACATATATGAATCGGTACAAGTTGTCATACCTCATTAGCAAAACAAGATGAACATCGGATCCATAGAAATAGTTAATTCAGTGGTAGTAATATGCAAAAGAAAGATTGCATATAAGGACATGGTACAGGAAGAAAGAATTAGTTCGTAGAACGAAAGATGTCGAGCAATTTTAATCTCACGGTTTAAGGGACGACAAAGAGTGTATACACCTACTCCATTCTGATCGATTCTGAGCCATGACATATACAGTTTCCAACTATTGGTTACCATAGTCAAGCAGACCTCAACAAAGTAATCTGCATCTACCAACATGGCTCACACCACATGTTAGTGACTTCAACGACTGATGCTACATTTCGGTTTGGCCGCACCTAACTTTCTTCTAACGATCCCCAACACTAGTCAACATTGCGCGTCGTGGTAATCGGTGTTCAGGCATACGTAACACGTGGCTCAATCATCTCATGCGATGAATATACACAACCTCATCAACTGATTTACCATCATTTCATAATATCCTGTACGTCGAACTTTACTATTACTTACTCAGTGATCCCTGCAGATGCGAGCAATATTTCTAGGGAATATGTGATTAAATACTAGTAGCTTAGGATTGTTTTGTACCCTTAATGGCTACGTTTCGCAGAATTTATATGTAGATAACTATGGTACATCATTTATTTTGATGATTATTAATGTGTTTATTACTTTTTTTTTTGAATTTTTATTTCAGATGGGTGCTTGTTTTTCATTAGTATTTGAAGGTTGTCCATTGAAGATTAATTCAACTGCAACATGGATTAATCCCGCTAACAATGGTAATAAAAATAATCATTGTATATTTGGTTCAACAAAGGGAGTTTTCTATTGATTGAATTCATTTACAATGGTGTACAATCACGAATATGTACAATTATTGTTTCAGAATGACAACAATCACAATAATGTGATTTGGTAGCTCGAACTGATGTACGTGCGTAAGTACGTACGAAGTTCTACGTCGTTACTAACTGACTGACTGATAATTACATTAATTACAATAATGGCGATAGGAAAATTCTATTAAACATGGTAACAATGAGGTAGAATGATATATCATACCTTCTTAACATTGCCGTAGCAATAGCCATACATCATGGAAAACAAGAATTGTGTGTCTCAAAGAAATTGGTGTACAACCTCTTCTTCTACCATGGTCTTAATGTCTCATCATTTTCTTTCTTTTCACTTTTCTTCCTTCATAGATATCCGCTTCTTCTTATCTTCTCTATAGACCTTTTTACCCTCAACTGGAATGCTTCTGTTTCTATGATCCTCTTGATTACATTTCATTCCATATTCAACATTTTATCTTATCTTGCTGAGCTATCCTTTCCCAATTACAATTTCTTTATTTACCTTTATGATAAATATTCAAGCCCTTAACAATAAAACTGTTATTAATTTTCCTGATTGTTTATTCTACCTCACCTATTACCATATTTAACAGAATTTGCTTATTACTATTATTATGATTATTATCATCCTGAAACAATAAGTATACATATTTGCGATTGTACTTAATTATTTACTTACTTACTTACACCTGTTTCCCTCGCGGAAGAGCATGGGACGCCCACCGTCACTCTCTCCATCCAACTCTGTCCTAGGCAATCTTTCACAGTTGCTATCCATCCCTTTCATATCTGCTTCCACTTTCGCCTGTGGCTCTTCTAGAGTTACTACCGGTCCCCAAGCCCGGGTAAAAGAGAAGGATTGGACATACGGTCGGCAACCCCATGCCGTAGGAAAAAATCTTGCTAAAAATCTGCAATCAGATTCGCGACTGTAGAGCTTTGTAAATGAATTCGCCGAATAGAGAACTCTGCTGAACCAGTTTTTCTTATTTCATGTTTTAATATAACTGATAATATCCCATTTAGTATTAGCGATAGATTTTCAATGTTTTGTAAAACTATAAATTATTCACTACTATACAATTTAAGAATCGTTCCAAAATAGCCAGTTGAGCTAATCATTCACTTTTCTGTTTATACATAAGTCATTCATATGACTTATCATTAGCAATGAAAATATGAATTGACTAGATTCACTTGGTGTTGTTTGCTTGTATCTTCCCATTGTTTAGGATTGCAATTGATCCGTCTCTTATTGGTATATATCATCCTGTACGGATTGCCTCAATATTGCCTTAATTCAAAAGCATTATAAGCTTCGATGGATGATGACTAGCAGTGGAATCCAGTTTGATGCGCGTTTCGTCCTGTTCGGGACTCGTCAGTTGGATGTACCTGTATCGTAGTGATGTTCACTACAGGACTTGAACACACTACCGATCGCTTCAAGCACTATCGCGTTATCCATTTAGCTACGAAACGCACGTTCAGGATTCCACTGCTAGCCACTATTCATCTTTGCTTCTAAAGGTTATGAATTGACTAGCTTTAAAAACTTTAAATCAGTTTAAACATTCCCATCGTTAACTGTAATTATTATCGTCCTGAAACAATAAGTATACGTATTTACGATTGTACGGTTTTGTATATGAATTCCCCGAGAAAAGAGAACTCTTCATCGAACCAATCTTTCTTGTTTTATAGCTTAATGGGTATATTCCGTTTCATTAAATATCTAATAAAAAGAAAGACAATAATTGAAATATGATATCTATATACAAAGAGAGTGATAGAATGTTTGATTATGGGCATAATGTTATGAGGGTGTATAACCAATAAAGTTTATCATTCGTTTACTTACATAGATCGAAATGTTGAATTATATGACTTTGTAACCATTTCATGGATTCTCATTATCTAGTTTGAACAACCCTTTTTTGTCTGAGTGTTTTTTTACACCATCTGTCGAACTGAAGTGTTGTTTTGTAGATTATGTGGGTTGTCTTTTACATTATTGATCTTCGGCTATCGTTTTGAATACACTTCTCCATGTTTCTGATCATCCCTTATGAAATCGTTGTTCTATAGAGCGCTTACTCTGAAAAAGTAGAGCTTATAATCTGTTAATAAACAAATCATAGAATTAACCACTACGCTGTCGTTAAACTCATATGTTAATCGATTATCATTGATGCTTTTATGCATGATACAATGTGTATTTCTTTGCTTTATAGTTTCACTAAAATAAATATATTCCTGTTAATAGTATAACAAGAAAATAACTTTAATAATTGAATTTATGAGTCAATTGAAGCTAGACCACCGTAGAAAATCTGTAAGTACTGGACGGTCGTTTCGTTTTAGTATGGAACTCCACGATCGCGCCCCGCAAGATTCGAACCCAGGACCCATCAGTCTCGCGCGCGAACACCTAACCTTTAGACTAATGGGTCGGCATACAACCTTCTTAATGTCTAACTTCAAACGATCCACGGAATCGCGCCACCATTCACCATTTTCTTAAGTGAGTTACTATCTCACAACAGACCTGGTTGAACTCTACTAGTCACTGCTTCTCACTAGAACTCCAAGAAATAACTCTTGGAGACAGTCACTAATGAGCATATGATGATTATAATCAGAGAGGGGTTTTATGGAGATCGTGGCAATTTAATAGTTGAATTCATGAGTCAATTGAAGCTAGACCATCATGGAAAAGCTGGAAACTGATAAGTCCAGGGTTCGAATCTTGCGGGGTAGGGTCATGGATGCACACTGCTGAGGAATCCCATAATAAAATGAAACGGTCGTTCAGTGCCATTTGAAAAACTCACAGAAAACATCAGTTCTCTCAAAACTGGAGATACACTTTGCTAACGTTACTTAACTATTGTAAAATATCAGTTCATAGCTTTGTATAATTGTCTTTATTGTTACATTTTAGAATAACACTTCAGACCAGCCAATAAAATGTTGTTAGTATTTCATTAAGCAATTGCAATTTATGATTTTACACTTATGTTTAATGATTAGATGTATTACTCAATGGTACTTCCTTGATCTGTCTACCCACTTTTAATGCTGAGGATAACTTGTCTAATTTAGATTAAGCCCTTGACGCGATAGGCTGACCGGCTTATATAAATACTTTTCTAATGATTTATATCTAATGTATACTTCATTTACTTTATATAGGTCAAGTTATCCTATTGGGTACAAATGATGGTATATATTGTTTACAGTTGAAAGGACGTTCTGAGAATTCTTTAGAATTAGTAAGCTGAAATTAATTTAATTTTTATCTTTCATGTTACACTTTAAGAAAGATGATTTTAATTACAAATTGTTGATCATCATATTCTTATGGATCAGTGATGATCTAGTCTCATACTAGACAAAAGAAGTTTGTTAAAAATTGTGGATAAAAAAAAGTATCCTCCTATAAAATCTTTTTATAAGTATACATTTTTATAGAGTACCAGTATGGAGTTGTGGAGATTATTATATCGGACCACCATCGAAAACGCGGAAGCACTGGATGGCCGTTCCGTCCTTATTGTGGGACTCGTCAGCAGTGCGCATCAACGATTCTGAAGGTGGGATTCGAACCTTGGGTATTCGATCTTGCGCGCGAACGCTTAACCTCTAGACCACTGAGCCGGCCGACATCCAACGATGTTAATGTCTAACCTCAACATTAACTATTGGTCTTAATTAAGGAAGCTTTAAAAACGCCTCTGCTGGGATCACCAGGTATGTAATAGTGAGGTTAGACGCACAGGGTATTAGGGAATGATGGTAAATCAGTTGATGACGTCGTGAATATTCATCGACTGAGATGGTTGGACCACATGTTACATACGCCTGAACACCGATTACCATGACGCGCAATACTGACTAGTGTTGGGATTGTTGGAAAAAAGTTAGAAACGGTCAAACCAAAACGTGTCATCAGTCGTTGAAGTCACTAACTTGTGGTGTGAGCCACGTTGGTAGATGCAGACTACTTTGTTGGGGTCCACGTGACTATCATAACTAATGATTGGAGACTGTGTATGACATGTTTCAGAATCGATCAGAATGGTGTAGGTGTATACACTCTTTGTCATCCCTTAAACTGTGAGATTGAAATTACTTTGTGCCAACTTGCACTGATGCCTATATGTGCCTGGTCTACATTGTAGCTAACTGATTGAGTAAGAAACCGAGGAACATATGTGTTAAGTATTCGTTTTATGTGTCTGACTCTTCAACAGTGCTCATTTATGATTTCATTAGAAACTTAACGCAGGATTTTCCGTTTCGCGACAAGTTGTTAATGGTTAGACCAATAATTGATCATTAAGTGTACCACTCCCGTATTTTTGGACGACAGTAAGCTGTACGTTGCTTTTAGTGTGTTTATAAGAACATGTTGTTTGTTAATCCTTTTATCTAGTGATTAGCACCAGATTAATTTTACTTCGGTACATTCAGAATTATGAATACTCTTCTCAACTAATGGTAATTAGTCACTTAAAATTACTCTGTATAACTCAATATATACAATCTGACTAACATAATAATGTAATAACTGTATTACTCAACATAAAATGGCTAAAAATTGATCCAGGACTTTCAGGCTTATTTCTGAACCTCAGTGGTGGATATTTAAAAGAACAAGAAAACAATTTCCTGGATCATAAATACGAAATAAGACCTCACTACACAATGAGTGGAGAAATAATACTAGTAATTATACAGTTTCTTTGTATACATAATTCAATGAAACTATGAAAGAAACTTAGATCAGTGATGTTTTAAATGGTCACATATCTACTTATAAATGTTTCTTCAACCTATTCCTGGTTGATTTTTTTTTCCAATTAGCTATTTCCACGTCGTTGTTTATGGTTATCGGTTACTCGAGATACTATGATGTCACTATCTGGTCGTCATCCTCAATTATATGCACATAATTTGGTTTCTTTAATGAAATTAAAATCTCAAGGTCATTCAATGAGTGGTGGTAGTGGTTGTACAGTTGGGGGTAGTAGCGGAGTTAGCGGTAGCAATATTAGTGGTCTTGGTGGAGCTGCATCAAAATTTGGCAAATTCGTTAAACTTTTTCCTAAGTAAGTTTCTAAAAAAAGTTATAGTGGCTAGCTTCTATTTGGGTTCAAAAATTAATGTATGAACTGTATGATAAATAGTCATTTATTTATATTGATGTCCGTTTGTTTTTGGACACAGTGATGTGGTGTGAGCTACTTATATCCACATAAGTAGTATATATCTATGTTCAGAAATAGAACGTATTGCAGTAGAAGATCGAGAAGCAAGGAACGAGAATGGAAAGCAGTTAGTATGAAAATGCAGGAATAATGAAATTTGAGACGGTGGACTGATATTTGCATAAGAAATAGTTAATTTTGAGACAATTGACTAGTGAGATGGTGGAGAAGATTTGTAACTCAGATGGATGATTTTGATGGAGTTTTGTTCTCTGAGCTGGATGGCACGACCAAACCATCCAGCTCAGAGAACAAAACTCCATCAACAAACAATTGACTAGTATTTTGTAATTGAAGTATTCACTGTATGATTCTTACATTTGACTAAGATTTCTGTAATTTTATGTTCAAATATATTCGATTGTCCCCATTGGTGTTATTGTTCACTACAGTACAAGTGTATGTTCATCTACTATTTACTTATGGTTCTGTGTAACAATATTGATTCTTAATAGTTACTGAAATCCATAATAAATGTATTGGTGTCCGAATCTCCAAAACCATGAATATATAATTCAGATAAACCTGTATATCAATGATTATATTACACGTTAATGAAATGAATACTTTTTAGGACTAGTTCTAAGGAGTAATACCATATACTGTGTTAGCAAATACGTCCATCCATAATATACTAATAATTTTGGTAAATTATAGTAGTATATGGAAAAGCTTTTGACAATTAATAAACCAGATCGGTGAAACTATAATTTATGGACGACCTTTGAGTGACACTGAAGGAACCTTGAGAATGGACATCTACTGATTAGGACTAAATGAGGGTTCTTATTTTACAGTTGATAGTTAGGGGTTAGGAACTAGATTTAGGGTTTTCATCATGAACTGACATTAGTTATGATGCCAAAACTCTATTTAGCCAGATATATGAATAAATTTCGCGCCGAAATTCGTGACTCGTTATCTTATATCTGATGGTTTCATCTGTAAATTATAGTCTCGCCGATTTATTTTATGAAGAGAAATATAAATTAAGATTTATTGTAATAAATATCGTTGGTCCCATAATTATACTGACATAGTTTTAATGCCTATCATGTGGTTTTCTCTTTCCATTTTCCTTGCTTTATTTTTTCTTTCATGGTGTATTGTGATTACATCATCAGACAGATATAGTATTCTTGACCTTCGATTATTGGTTGAGAGTTGTATAGATGTATAACTTTTTCATATTCACGATTCTGTATCTGGTTGATAGCTCAGTAATTGTATTAATACTTAAGATTCCCCAAATACCTGGTACGACCGAGGGTGAGGAGAGTTAACTCTTCCTCTCCAAATACTCTGACATGGACACGTGCATACAACCACTACCAGAGATGTCCTACTCACTGTCTTTTTACGGCGAAAGTGTTGTTTACGAAACTGACAGGACGATAAGCGAATGTTTGGCGCTTTATCCGGGTCGGTGAACACCTAGGATCCACTTAGGGTAGTTGTAAAACCCTGATTTCAACAAATCAGTGGTGCTTATGATTTCAAGTATCCTGATGTAACAAACGACGTATGATCCAATTATTGGTGACCGGCTATCATGAGACTTCATCTCTTGACATTGCTCGACTATCTTATGGATTAGATCTTCAGGTCAAAGTCTTGTGGTGTTCCCCCTATGAAAACCGCCTGTTTCGGTTTTTTGGCACCTGGGCAGTATCTCAGAACTCACATAAATCAAGTGACTTGTGTGGCGCATATGTATTCTATGCCACTCTGTATCAATGTTTCTGTGTTCAAATAAATAAATATCGATAAACTGTAACATCATGTATTAGTGATCGCATATAGATCACATGCGTAAGTGTTCAGTTTTGAACAATATATACTGTTTTGTAAAGGGCAACGTTGCCTTTTAGTTACCCAAACCTAGATATATTGAGAACGGTTTGAATCTTTTATCCATAAATTGATAACTGGATAGTTATGAATGGATCCATTATGTATATTTCTTTATTGTATCAATCTATTTTATCATTTATTTTATTGATTTCTTCATTTATTTTAATTAGACGATTTTCACCATCAAAAAAAATGCCTGATACAAAAGGATGTTTACGTGCTAATGTTACACGTAATCCATTTAATGGTGCTAAATATTTATGTGCAGCTATGACAAATGAAATATTAATTATGGAATGGTTTAATCCTGTATCATCATTTATTGAAATTAAAAGAGTATGTTAATTATTTTTGAAAGCTTAGATTACTTACTTACTATACTTACGTCTGTTACTCCCAATGGAGCATAGGCCGCTGACTACCATTCTCTAACCCACTCTGTCCTGGGCCTTCTTTTCTAGTTCCATCCAATTCTTGTTCATTTTATCATGTCTATCTCCATTTCTCGGCGTAATGTGTTCTTTGATCTTCCTCTTTTCCTTTGGCCTTCAGGATTCCCTGTGAGGACTCGCATCGATGACGCAGTTGGTTGCTTTCCTCAATGTGTGTCCTATCCACTTCCAGCGCTTCTTCCTCCGCTGGGATCTGGTTTGTTCTCTCCTACAGTACGTTGTTGCTAATAGTGTCGGCCAACGTATCCGAAGTATTTTGCGTAGACAGTTGTTAATAAACACCTGTATTTTCTGGATGATGGCTTTCGTAGTTCTCCAGGTTTCCACCTCATACAGTAGAACTGTCTTGACATTTGTATTGAAAGCTTAGATAATTACCTATTATAACTAACATTGGCTTAATAATAATAATAATAATAATAACATACTTAATATTCAACTATTTGGATCAAATATTGTTGTAACTATATGCCCGGCTAATTATCACATGACTTACTGACCAATCGGAATACTATGCTAAACCAATAACATATCGATTGGCATGAAATAATAGCCTATCATCCTTGTTGATCATTTGTTCACCGAGCCATCCATTGAGTCCAGAATGCTAATACAGCTTCATTATGCAAATTGTTTATTTCAAAGATACTTGGTTTTATACCAACCAAACGACCTCATCATATCAAAATAGAAAATAAAATTATACAAGATCACTCAAAAATGGCTGTGAACATGGGAGACAGTAGTTAATAAACTGAACATAACTTAGGAATAGTGAATTGTATAATAATAGTCTATAGGTCAAAAAAAGTTTATAATGAGAGGAATATAGATATACATAATCTAGTAACTGAATAGTTATACAATATAATGTTAGTTGATTAATAGTTCTTAGAAGTTACTTACTTACTCCTGTTACTCTTCGTGGAGGAGCATAGACCGCCCCCAGCATTCTCCATCCAACCCTGTCTTGGGCAATCCTTTCTAGCTCTTTCCAGTTCCTATTGATCCTTTTCATATCTGATTGTATTTCCCGACGTAATGTGTTCTTTGCCCTTCCTCTTGTTCGCTTCCATTCAGGATTCCAAGTTAGGGCTTGACTTGTGATACAGTTTGATGATTTTTGTAATGTATATCCTATCCATTTCCATCGTCTTTTCCTAATTTTCTCTTCAGCTGGAAGCTAGTTTGTTCTCTCCCACAGTACGCTATTCCCGATGGTATCCGTCCAATGGATGATGAGTATCTTGCGTAGACAACTAATTATAAGTCCTTGTATCTTCTTGATGATGGTTGTAGTAGTTCTCCAATTTTCAGCTCCGTACAGTAGATCTGTCTTGACGTTCGTATTGAAAATTGCGACTTTGATATTGGTTGAAAGTTGTTTTGAGTTGCTTATGTTTTTCAATTGTAGGAAAGCGGCCCTCGCTTTTACATCTGCATCACATCCTCCTTGTTCATCGATGATGTATCTACACTGATCATGAAAGCCGTACCTCAAACATTTGAATCCAAATAATCTAGCACTGCAGTAGAAAGATTATTATAAATAAGTAATCACTCTGTAGGTTCAAGATATTGATATTCATCGATCATCTAGAAATATCTTGTTTTTGACTACGTATTCATTTGTGCTAATGAAATTCTGTCTATCAAACTTCGTCCATTCATTGGTTATAGATAGGCATTGTTGCTCACTACGGTTTATGTTAACTCAAGTTAGAGGTGTAAACCTGATATATTGAGCCAGTCAGAAGTAGCCGACTGAGATCACTTGATGACAATCGAAAATGACCTGAAGGACAAACACACACTACTGGCTAAGATATATATATATAATATACTATCCGGTAGCGAAATTGACCTTTTCTTCCATTCTTGTATTCTCGTCCAAGTAGTCATTTTAGGGTTTTTAATCGCAGCATGTTGTGTTCCAAATATCAGATCTTAGATATCACTAATCATAAAATTATTAAGTAAGCGCTTGGCAAGAGGTCAGAAAGTCTTGGGTTATATTCCTGGTTGATTTTGAATGAATACTGTCGAGGATTTCTATACTGGGATAAAGCAGCTACTCAGTATTTTATGGTTCACAATAGTTATCTAACTGAATTCAATCTTTTATGGAAATTTGTAAAATTTAACAATCTTCATAACTTTCCATATTAATAAATCTTACTGATTAATTACCTACTAATATTTGTATTTGTTTTAACAATTTCTTTTCTATGAACAGATATTTGTTCCTGATATGCCTTCACCTTTATTAAATTTTGATTTACTGATTGTGAAAAATCTTCCTCTACCATTTGTTTGCGTTGGAGTCTATCGACATCATTCTCGTAAAGGTCGAGAAGGTCAACGTTTTCGTTTACATTTGATTGATTTAAATAGTTCTGGACCTAATCCACCACAGATACCTCCAGTAGTTTCATCTATTCCTCCTTATTTCACTGTCTTCTGTTGCTGCTGCTGTTTCTGTCACTGCAATGGCGTCAACTACTAGCACGACTATTACTACTTCTACAACAACAACAACTAATTCTGTATCTCCAAATCATTCCGGTTTATTAGTGGACTCATCTACATCTCCTCACTCTGTAATATCACATTCAGAAAATATTCATGGATTAAATGATTCAGTTGAATTAACGAGTAGTAATAATATTAGGTTGACTAATAAAACACAAGTAGTTCTTAAATCAGATCAAACAAAAGCTGAATTACAACGAAAGAATACTCTATTTTTACGTGAGTTTAATTTTTTTTCATCATTCCTAAACTGTAATGATAAAGATAATAACAACAGTGTTGTTCAATTACCAAGTAAATGTTTCTATATAGCGTTTTTCGTCATACTGGTCAATACTACTACCGGTTACTCTTACACTTATGTAGGTAGAGAGAGAATCAAACCTGTTAACTAGTAGCTGAAAATCAAACTCTTTAATATTTAAACCATCATTACGATGGATGGATGAATTAATCAGTTCTTTCCTCCAAATGACTTGTTCTAATCTATAATATCTGGAATGATTATTAGTAATTACTCTACTAATAAGATGTGACAACTATGTTAAATCAGCGTAGAGCTCTTAATCGAAATCTAACTTTGGTAGTAAGTTCTTCAACCAACTCTGTTCTGAACTCTTCTTTCTAGTTTTTTCTACTTGTTATTCATTCTTTTTAATTCTTACTCAAATCTCGGCTTAGTGCGTTGTTTGGATTGCTGCTTTTCCTTTTGCCCTGAGTATTGTCTTCATGTTTTTAGTGAATATTTTAACTTGGATTTGTGTAAGTTATTCTGTGGGAATATTCTATTCATGAGTTCTTCAAAGTTCTTTATCTGCTGTTCTTAAATCTGAGTAATGAACTTGCATTTGTTCTTGACTGGTCGCTCTGGTTTACCATACTTTCCTGCTAGCTTCTTTGTTGTATCATATGGTTGTTTCATAGTTCCCTCTTTTGCAGCTTTTTCCACTGTCGTTACTAACTCTTTCACATATTTCTGGCTGTCAGCTCTAATGCTCCTCTTAACTCTCTTGTTTGCTTCTGTATAACGGGTCTGGGCCTTAAATTTCTCTGTTCTTGTTTGGATGTTGTTAATTGCTGTCTTCTCGTTTTTTCTTCCTTGAATCTTGTCCAGGGTTTCCATAGAAGTTCATTCCTTGTGATGATGCTTTTTGCGGCCCAGAACCTCCTGATACTTTGAAGTTAGTGCTTATTTGATCCATTTTCAAATGTCTTTGTTAGTAGCTTCTTCTTTCAGTAACTTGTAAAGCTTGGAACCTGTTGTTGAGAGCTATATTTAATTTGTTGAGTTTGTCAGTATCTCAAAGAAAGGCTGTTTCTCCTGTTGCAAACTGCTTCCTTAACTTCAGTCTCATCTTGGCCACAACCAGGTGGTGATCTGAAGCTATATCATCTCCTCATGTGTTCGATTGACTTGAATCCTTTAGTGGTCCAGATATGATCTGTCTGGTTCTCCGTGGTGTAATCCAGAGAGATCTATGTAGCTTTGTGTATATGTTTGTGTGAGAATATAGTGCCGTTTATAACCATTTTGTTCGATGCACATAAATGTGGAATTCTATCATCATTCTCGTTTCTTTCTCCCAGTCAGTCCATGTCGTCCCATGATATCTTCATAACCGTTGTTTTCCATTTCGACTTTGGCGTTTAGATTTCCCATCAGGATGGCCAGGTCTTTTCTTGGGCACTCCACTATGTTTGATTGCAGTTTCTCGTAAAACTGATCTTTATCGTCGTTGTTGCTATCATTGTTCGGTGCATATCATTGAATAACATTCATTATGATTCCCTCCTTTGTTTTAAAATATACTTTGATGATCCTGGGTTTATGATATTCCCACCATATAAGTAGTTTATATGCTTCTTTGGACGACATCAGAGCAACTCCCTGAGTGTGCGGAGCGTTTTCTTCTTCGTGACCCAAGTACAGCATCGTGAATATAGAAGTAAATTAAACAAGATGAAACTTGTCTTGAACATGCAATGCAATATGATAATTATTAAAACATGACTACAATAATAAATAGTATGCATTAATATAACTAAAAATTACGTATCGATTATTGATGATGAAAGGTTATAACTTTACAACACATCCGTGTAAACTTGAGCTATTCCATTAGGTTGATTACTTGTAGTAATAATCCATTTCATTGTTCCTAATTTATAATCACATCTAATTTGAATAATATAAGATCTCTAACTTGTATATGGGTTCATTCTAGTCGATGCTCCTTAATAATAATAATAAATATTCGAGGAGTTTACTGAGGATCAAACTCGTGTTTTGGTTGAGATAGAGGTTTCTCGCTTACCCTACAAAGGACTCCTGTTAACAAAATCCAACCGAGTTCTTAATGGAGTTTTGTTCTCTGAGTTGGATGGTTTAGTCGTGAAGCTTTCATCGTTTTTCTGAACGACATCATCAGCACAAACTTCAGATAAAAGTGAAGCATTCGAATTTCTCCACATATGGTTCACAGCTTGTCCTGTAGACCTCGACGTTGATTGGTTCTTGTTGACCTTAAACATATCATTGTTTACTTACTTCTCCAAACGGGAGATACACTTGGGCTACAAACCTTCTTCACCATAACAAACAAGTTTCATGAATCTGTGACTAGATTTCATGAGACTAGACCCACCAGTTATCATAAACTTTCCAAATAAGTAACGCGATAGACCCCAATCAATCAGTTCACTCGTTGTCTTTACTATAGTCATCTCAATAAACATATTTGTTTTTCAATTGTACTCAACCTACACTTCAATTCGAATAGCTTGTTAGCGTTTCAAATTCTCACATGAATAATATATGAGTTAAAGGATAGTCTCACTAATCTGAGGATGATCTCTATGTACTGTATTAATTATAAACAAATTCCCCCCCCATTTAACTTTTTTTCTTGATTTTTTTGTCCTCAAAATTCCATTTTCATAATCAATTTTCTTCTATATACATAAATAGCCGAGGATATTCTACCGGTTGTTGAAACTGTACAATTAGAGCATAATACTATATTAATATGCTTTTTAGGTAAGTATTGTTTGAGTCAATAACAGTTCTACTCTATTGAAATTTGAATAGGTAGTAGTAGTAATAGTATATGTTCAATTTTCATAACCTTTTGATTTTGATCTTTCTTTTATATATTACCACCACTGAATTAACTACTTCTATGAATCCGGTGTTTATCTTGTTGTGTTCATGAGGTATGGCAGTTTGGACCGATGCACATATGCGCCTGGTCCTACGTCGTGACTGACTGACTATTAATCGGGAATCGATTGTTTTGTGTAGATATTTTTTTACCGGAGGCATATATCGTCTGTAAAAGACATAGAGATATTATGAGCAGTCGCTTGGTTCCCTACTTCTTATGATTTATTAGTAGTATTTTCCAGCATTGAACATTCCTACATTTCATAGAATGAATAATTAATTAACCTACAGATCATCAATCTTATTGTAATTCTCAACATTGTATTATCAGTCTGTCAGTCAGTCAGCAACAACGTAGAACTTCGTATGTACATACATCAGTTCAACTTGCCATACCACATTAGCGTACAGATACAATTGCTGATTCAAATCCCATAGTGGTAGAGGTAGTAAGAGTATAAGGAGTAATCGGAAATATTAGAATTTGAACTTGTTGTTCACTGAGTATAATCCAGTGGAATAAATTTGGAGAGAGAAAAAAAAAGGGACATGAAGAATTCAGAAGATTAGAATTTGGGAGAACACAAAAAGTGGATGGACCTGAGCAATTGCAAACGATTTTGAGTCATGTCATTCAAGGTCTCTAACCATTGGTTGCTATTGTCATGCGAATCCCAACCAGGTAGTCTAAACCTACCAATATAATAAACCATAATTAGTTTTCTTATGTTGAACTACAACAAATCTCAGCGGATTTGTTGACAGAGCCGATCATAAATATGTACAGTCATCAGATATAAATCACTACCTTTTAAGTTAATACTTCTTTTTTACTATTAGTGGGTTATAGTCTTATTTCCAAGTTTATTGATTTAAAGATCCTGTTGTCAATTTTATTTAAATCTGTGGTTGCCAAACTGACAAAGAAACAGAATATACATTACGAGTGTTTTGATGATCTATTAATTAATGCACTGAGTTGCGCATTCAAACTTCACTTTTTATTACTTTGAACGGAATAGTTGAATATTATCACTATTCCTTCCCACAAACAACAAGGTTCAAAGATTATTACAAACTCAACTACATCTTCAAATAATTCTAGCACTAATCAGGTCTAATCTTCAATTCCATACTTTTCTTTTTTAATAGCTATTTTGGCTTAGATTATCATTTGACATTATCTTATTCCATTTTAAATCTATGACCAGGTTAATTTCGATTATTATCATCGTGGTCGCTAGTATTAAGAAAATATTCGAATAAATTATGCACTGTCAACAGTTTCATGAGTTGTTCTAGCTTATTTGTTTTCCGCGTTTTTGATTTAAAACAAGGCTAATTTCTATCATAAACTGACACTAATTGGGGAACTGATATCAAAAATGGGGATCATTGGACAATTTAACAACCGTAAATCTTTATGGCTTTTAGCCTGTAGGTGCATAAAATCATTGCCAGGGAAGTCCTACTCACTGCCTTCTCGTGGCGGGGATGTCGATTTTTTACGAAACTGAGAAGACGAAAAGTGAATGTCCAGCGCTTTATCCGGAGGATCCGAATAGGGTAGTTGGAAAACCCTAATTCCAAACCTATGGTGCACATGGGCTCCAGTATCTTGAAAGAATAAATGGCGTATGAACCAATCGTTGGTGACCGGCTACCATGGGACTGCATCTCCTGATGTCGCTCCACTGCCTTGTGGATCAGACCTTTAGGTCGAAGGCTCCAAGTGTGGCCCTCTAAGAAAACCACCTGCTTCAGTTTGGGCACCCGAGTAGTATCCTAGATTTCACACAAATCGAGTGATTTATGTGGCGCATATCTATTTGGTGCCTTCTTGTACCACTGTTTATGTATTTAATTAAATAAATGATAAAAATGACACTTATTTTAAGTTCTGTTCAATTTGTGATAAACCATGGTCTATTATTTACCATTATCTGTAATTCAGTATTCATCTCAGCTTGGTTAACCTGAATATCCTGACCTTTGATATTCTATAGGTTTGTTGCTGTGTTGACTATTTGAATTATTTCTAACTAGAAGAAAACATCTGTCTTGATGTTTCCATGTTTAATGTTTTCGTTGTTGTCTTTGATTTGTCTTCTTCTTTCAATTTCACCATAGATTGTGCTAAAGTTGTCAGCTTAAATGGTCAAATTAAATCCAGTCGTCATCGTGCCACAACTTTAGATTTTAATGGAATCACAGTTGAATCTATTGGTAAGTAGAAATTGGTTAATATTCTGATTGTGTTTATTACCTTTATTTATTTATTTATTTATTTGAATATATAACTATTGGTACAAAGGGGCACCGAATACAAATGCGCCACACAAGTTAAGTGGTTTGTATGTGGGCTGTGATACTACTCGGGTACCCCAACCGAGACAGGTGGTTTTCTGAGGAGGCCACACCTCAAGCCTTTGAAGTGTGAAAATAGTAAATTAATGGTATACGCACATGTGTCTTTCTGACACAGTAGTGTGTTAGGTGAGACCTTGTCTAGGAGCATTAACAACTCTCTCGTGTAGGACGTCTAATTTATAAGTTACTATTCACTGTTTGTCCGTGAGAGATGGTGCTATTTGAACTCGGACTTCTAATTTGCCTAGATATGCTCAGCATATAATCGGTTCATTTTACAGTAAAGTAGACTATAATTGAAAATGTACACCCCTAGATTCCAACCTAGTCGTCTAAAGATAATGAAATCACAGCAGGATTTAAAATTCCTAGCTCCCATCCTTGGTGACATGTATACACCACTGAATAGTCCCGTAACCATTATACCATACTCCCCAGTAATCAGTAGTTCATTAAATTGAATTTAGTTCGTGATGAACACTTGTTAACTATTTGAAAGAAACCTTATGGCAAAACTATTAATTATGCGAATTTAAAACTTGTGCAAATGAATTACTGCTGACTAGTGTATGATTTCAAGTTGATTATTATAAGTTTTTCATTGAGATCATGGACCGATTGATGTTAGACCAACATTGAAAACCTGAAAGCACTGGACGGTCGTTTCGTCCTACTCTGGGACTCCTCAGTAGTGCTCATCCAAGATCCCGCTCGCGGGGACCTTCGGACTCGCGCGCAAACGCTTAACCTACTAGACCACTGAGCCGGCACCCAATGGTGATAGTGTCTAACATCGACCAATCCACGAAGTTGCGCGACCATCTTCCATGGTACTGAAGTAGATACCTGTCTCTACCCGACACGGATTAGCTCCACTGGTCACAGCTTCTCACTTGAACTCCGAGAATTTCCGCACGAAACTAGTCACTAGCGAGCACTTGTTAATTACTAGTATAGGGGTTATTATAAACATATGTCTGTATGTTATTATTTTGATTATTTTACTTTCTATTCTCTTGATCTCACTTATCCATTTATTTATTTTCATAGTATGTCTTCGAGATAGTATTCTTGTATTTCATCCACATGGTCTACTAGGAAAAAGTTTTACTGGAGAGGTCAGTCCATTATTCTTTTTTTTTTCTACCTTAGTATATCTATTTGATCATCGGTATTTATGTATTCAGTGTTTGTGTACTTATTTCAGTTTGTAAGTAGTACAGTTATATACTTTAGAAACGAATACAAAAGTTGGATTTTTGATTGAGATCACAAACTGATTGATGTTAACCACCATTGAAAACCTGGAAATATTGAACAGCCGTTTCGTCCTACTTTTGAACTCCTCAACAGTACGCATCCACGATCCCGCCCATGCGCGAACGCTTAACCTCTAGAACCCTGAGCAGGCATCCAACGGTGTTAATGTCTAACCTCAACCAATCCACGAAATTCCGTGACCATCTTCCATTTTACTGAGGTAGATACCTGTCTCTACCCAAATGATTGGCTGAATCTGTGTATTCTTTCATCAAAATTATTTCAGTGATCGATAGAATTAATCTGTATAATATTCTACAAAGATTTATATTACATAAGATAGGCAGGACAAAATTGGGATCGATAAGAACATTTGTAAGATTATCAATTATACCTTGAAGACTAATTGTATACATCTAAGTGGTAATTGTTCAATACTCTGTTAATTTTTTTGGGTAGTCTACTTTTCCTCGACTTTAGCGAAGAAAATTTTCTTCGCTATAAAATCAATTACTTAATCTGTACATTCATATTTATAGTTGTATAGTAAGTATATAAGTTTATAGAAGGATAGAAAAGATTACATCATAAAGGGATTCGGAAACTCCAATTGTCAAGTGAGGTTACATAATAATCAGGGGTTAGTGAAGGATAGACGAATGAAAATAGTTTACGAGTCAGAATTGTTCACTTGATGGGTCATAATCATTATGAAATATTGTCAAAGTCTAACAATAAAATTACAAAACACTAATTAAAAAAACATATTACAGAAAGGAGTGGGAAGGATGACAGGTTTCTACGTATCATTTTTGCACACAAAGTTTTTGTGCTTGAATTGGTGGATTACCAACGCCTCAGCAATGGATCAGTTAGTCAGTCAGTAACAAAGTAGGACTTCTTACGTATGTACATCAGTTCAACTTACCATACCACATTAGCACACAGATACAACTGCTGATTCAAATCCCATAGTGGTAGAGGTAGTAATAGTATAAACAGTAGTCGGAAAGATTAGGATTTGAAGTTGTTATTGAATGAGTATAATCCAGTGAAATAAATTTGGAAAGAGAAAAAAGAAAGGGATATGAGGAATTCAGATGATTAGAATTTGGGAGGACACAAAGAGTGGATGCGCCTGCTCCATTGCAAACGATTTCGAGCCATGAGCAATGTATACGCTTTTGAATCAACTTCCTTTTGAACTAGTTTCTTTGATTGTATAGATTAATTTAAAGTAAGACGTATCCAGAATTGATTAGATACTCCTGTATTGTACGGGTAATTGTTTTGTATTCTCTTTTTAAAAGTCATGCTCGATAGTGTTCTGAAATGATTTTAGAAATTGATCACTTTATTCAACCAATGTAACCTGTAGAGAAATTTGAACAATTCACTTATACCTAAAGTTTGTACTGCTGATAATATCGTTTAGAGTAATGATGAAAACTCCACGATCAAACCATTCAGCTCAAAGATCAAAACTCCATTGAAATCATCCACCTGAGTTACAAATTATCCCCACCACCATATATATATATATATTGTTTTTCTGTTTTCTTCTTTGTTGAATTGGCTAAGCAACTGATTTCTCTGATCAATTATTGATATACATATGTTATTATTATTATTATTATTATTCTGTATAACTATAATTTGTACATACAACAATGTGTACATTTATACATAACTTATTGGTATATTCTAATTGTAATTACAGTTAACTCAAGAAATTAATGATAAAGAAAATATTTATCGATTATTAGGATACAATCGGTTAGTTATTCTTTATTTTATATAATCTATTTATTTAACTGCATAAAGATTTGTTAAAGGAGGCACCGAATTGATTTGCTTTACATAGATCATTCGATTTGTGTAAGGGTTGAGATACTACTATCCGGGTACACAAACTGAAGCAGGTTGGGTTTTGGGGGGGGGAACTACACTCGGAACTTTCAACATAAAGGTCTAATCCAGAAGGTAGTGGGGCACTGTTAAAAGATGCAATCCCATGATAGCCAGTGACCAACGATAGGTTTATTATACGCCTTTTTTTCCTTAAGATGTCTTAGACAATGTGCACGATTGATTTGGAATGGTTATCTTACTCCCCTAGGTGGATCCTCCATATCCACCAACCCAGTTGAAGCTCCGGATATTCGCTTCTCATGTTTTAAAGGTTGTGAACAACACCACCACCACGAGAATACAGTAAGTAGGACTTTTCCCTGACAGTGATTTTATACGCGTTTGGAGCATTTAGAGAGGAAGAAGTGACTTTCCATCAGAGCATTTAGTGGTTGGGTTGAATGAGCAATAATTCTATTTCGCACTCATTCACTACATGTGATTACAATTTTGACATGACCATTACGTCTTTGTAGAATTTTAATTCACGTTAAACAACTTTATACTTTGAAATGTATTATTATTATTGTTAACTTTATTCACTATTATATTTTTGGTGTAGTATAGACTTCTCAGCATGAAGTATTTCATCAATTTTCCATTTCTTACTTCTTGGTTGATCTTGAATGATTACAGTTAAAGGTTGACAATTCAATCAATCGACATCTAAATAATATACATCAGTTTCATTACATATTACCAACAATCACAATATCTCTGATTGAACTCTTTTGTAATTTGTATAACGAAAAGTTGTACACTTTACAGAAAAGTATCTGATTAGTTTATACGATTAACAGACCTAATGATGTGTATGAGAACAAATAAGAAAGCAAATAACTTATTGATATATCTAGATGACAAGAACAGTTAGCCTAGTTGTTCTAGTAGTAGGCCATCATTGATGTTATCGATTTCGTGATTGACATTACCAAAGTTTGACTTGACCATTTTGAATAAATTCAACATTGAGTAGATTGTTATAACTTTAAAAAAACCTTAATATATTTGTACATATCCCAATAATTAGAAAAATTAGACATTCTGACGTTTCGTCAGTTAATGTAAGTCACTTCTTCAGAAAATAACTAACTAACTGATTGATTGACATCAATTTGATGATTAGATCAGTTGATATCATTCTACTGTTTTTAATGAAATGTTTTTATTTTTATTTAATTCATAGAAATATTATTGTTGAAAGCCGACCAGCTAATAATCCAATGTCTAATTCTAATGTATACATTTTATCTGATAATATGGAGAATATTTAATATACATATGTCAATGTAAAACTCTTATTATAGATGTGATGTAATCAAACTAAATTAAAGGAAAAAGGGAACGAATCATTCATATATTTTTTATTTCTTCCTCTTTTTTTCTATACACATTTATAAACAAACATTCTGTGTGTGTGTGTGTAAGTGTAAGATGCCTACTAGATTTCTTCATATTCTTTCCGGTTTCTTCAACCTTTTTTGTTTCTTCCTTTTTTTTGGAATTTTTTTTCACAAATCAAGTGCTTTATATATACATATATATATAGCTGTCTACTTACCTGCAACTTATTGTTCATTATGTAATTCTTTTTTCGTAAATTGTTCAATGTTACTTAGATAATTCCAATTTATAATATACTTTTAACGCACATACATACAAACGAATAATACTGTTACTATCTTGATTGGATAAAGCATTTGTTCTTAGCTTTAAAGTATTGCTTCTGTTCTTCATCGATTCCAGAAATAATAATAATGATAATAATTCATGTATAAAATAGTTGCTATGGCTAACATTTTCAAAATTCTTATCCTCATTTATGCACAGTTCAATTTTGTTTGTCAAATTAGTTTTCAACTACTAATAAGTAGTATAAATTTAAATATATAAAAAAAACCCAATTCCTCATGATGCGAAATAGTAAACATGATATTTGTCATATTCTTTCTTATCTGTTCAATATGCATAGAAGTTATTTGGCTTTTTTTTTCTTAATAAATTTGACTATTTGATCAGATTATACGATTACACAATTGAAGCCATAATAATATTCATTTGATATAAGTTAACTCATAATGCCGTTGTAATCTTATTTATCAATTCTCTTCTATAGGGTATAAATAATTTCTGAATATATATAGTCTGTGTTAATGAATTAGTCTGTATATTCTTTCATTAGTTTTGATTGTTTCCTTTTTTTTTCTTATCGGCTGTCTATTTGTCAATTCAAGTCTAGACAAATGAATCAAACATACAATGTATACATGTGATAGCCTTTTCTCCCCCCCTCTTTCTTTCTTTTTTCTTTATCTTTGTTTTTTTCTATTATTTGTCGTTTTAATCGTAGTTCTCTTTTTTTACTTTCTTTTTTCTTTTCTATTTTGTTTTTGCAAATATTGTCTTAGGCTAATGTGTTGTATTTGTACTTCTATATCAGCTTTATAATCATTACATAATGATAATATTGTTGTATATGTTATAATAATACATTATATTATGTAATATTCCTCATTTAAGATTTCTTCAATTCTATATTATTGTAATTATACATATATTTATTTATCACTTCTATCTCGCTTGTTTGTTTCTATTGAACATAAGAATACATCGTATTGTTATTTGATAATGAAACTTAGTAACTATAATTCATTGTAAACATTATCTTCTTATTGTTTCTTTATCTTTCAATATACACTATGAGATTATTTATTAATCGTGTTGTTTTAATAGATCCTCTTTCTTTTTTCTGTTTGCTCTTTTTTTAAATGATTCTTCTTTTTTTTTAAACGGTTTTTATATTAAGTAGTATCATTGTCTTTTTATTAATTATTGTGTTGCTATCACTGTTGTTGTTACTGCTGAATAATAATTTATAGATATGTATAATTGATCATAATCAATCTCTCTCTTTCTCTCTCTCTCTCTCATATTACAATGATTGTAAACTGTTATGATGTGGATCGATCTGTTTATTATATAACAAATATTAATCGGGAACCGAACTATAGAAGGGGATTCATTTGAATAGTTGATAGTGTTTAATATCTAATAGTTGTCAATAAAAGAGGCAATACATATATGATCATTCCTTGATTGGTTTTTCTCTCTCTCTCTCTCAAGGTTCATATTGCATAAACATAATCAGTTATGTAATCACATTTATCTTGTTATTGTTTATTATATTAACTCTAATGAATGTTCTCTCTTATTAACAATTCGATATAATATAGTTTTGTTTTATTTCTATTATGAAATATATCTTGACAATTAATTCTTTCACTTTCTCCCTCTCTCTGTCTCTGTTTTCACAATCAAGTTCTCTGACCTGCACGATATATTTATTTTTACACGCAATTGCACGCGTATGTGTGTGCGTGCGTGCGTGTATGTGTGTGTGTATGCAACTCGTTATTGTTTTTCTCTTTATTTGTTTATTCTTGTACTTGTTTTGATGTATAAATATATGCATAGTGATATATGTAATTTATTCCTATTTGTCTATCTATACTACGATAAAGTTATCTCATCCATTCTTTGTTTTATTCTTTTTTTTATTTTTCTTTATGTTATTGTTGTTGTTGTTGTTAAGGGATCATATTCTGACACATGTATACACAAGTATGTCATTATACATGAGGAAAATGAAAAAAAGGGGGAAAAAATGAGCGAAAAAAGAGGAACTAGCACACATCAATCATGTTCTATGATAAATAAATTGAAACTTTGAATTGATGATGTTTGTTTTGTTTTCTTGTTTCTAAATTATCATTGGTATGTTTTGTTTGGTGATTAGTTAATGCTTATTGTTTTCTCTCGTTCTTTCTCCCCTCTCTCTCTCTCTTTTCTCTTTCTTCTAATTATCTCTAGTAAGTGTTATATAATTCAAGTTGATTTATCTTAGAAATTAGTGAATATTGTTTGTTTTTTTTTTTGAAAATATTTCCATGATTCAATCGGTTGTATAATATAATTTTCAAGGATAATTCAGTATAACTAAGTGTATATAGATATTGTATAGATTAGATGAATGCATAACTTATTCACTGAACTGGATGAATCAATTCAGTAATGAATCTGTTTATATGGTCAATTATATGACATAACAAATATATATGTGTATCGCTAAATTTCGTGGATTAGTTGAAGTTACACATTAACACAATTGGATGCCGGCTCAATAATTTAGTGGTTAAACGTTCGCGCACAAGATTGATACGTCTAAGGTTCGAATCTCACGAGGCATGAACGTGGATGCGCACTGCTGAGGAGTTCCACAATAGGATGAAACTGACCATCCAGTGCTTCTAGGTTTTCCATGGTGGTCTAGCTTCGATTGACTCATGATTTCAACTATTGAAATATATATATAAGTAGACATACAGATAGTTATGCTGCAAATGTCTAGTAGTTGTTAAATAATTATTCGAATCAGTCGCAAATTAAAGGCCTAATAACTAGCTACCTGAATATTTGGCTTTATATCAGTTCAAATTAGACTACAAAAATACCAGTGATGGTGCAGTGTATCCTAATGATGTCGATAGATATAAGTAGTATGTATCACTCATCAGTTGAAACTGAGTTGTTTGGTGGTAGAGCGTTAACAAGATATAGGAGAACAGAATGAAAACAAATATTGATTGGTACAGAAACGAAGGAACAGCAAAGTCTGAAACGAGTGATGAATATTTTGCAATTGAAGTATTTACTGTATGGTTCTAATTTTGTGTTCGGATATATATTTGGTTGTGCCCACCTGTGATATTTCGTCGTATGATTTCAAATTCGTATGCGTGTCAATCAAGGTTGCTTACTCTCATCCTTTCTCTCTCTCTCTCTTGGTGATCTACTGGATCATGAAAACTTCAACAATTGGGGGGAAGCATGGGATACAGTGGACATCTAGGAAGCAGCTGGATAATCTAGACTTCGCAGATGATCTAGCTCTTCTATCGCATACGCAACAACAAATGCAGGAGAAGACGACCAGTGTAACAGCAACCTCAACAGCAGTAGGTCTCAATATACACAAAGGGAAAAGCAAGATTCTCTGATACAACACAATATGCAACAATCGAATTGCACCTGACGGAGAAGATTTGGAAGATGTAAGAACATTTACATATTTGGGCAGCGTCATTGATGAACAGGGTGGATCTGATGCAGATATGAAAGCGCGGATCGGTAAAGCAAGAGCAGCATATTTACAACTGAGGAACATCTGGAACTCAACACAACTATCAACCAACACCAAGGTCAGGATTTTCAATACAAATGTCAAGAAAGTTCTACTGTATGGTAAACTACGAAAGCCATCATCCAGAAAATACAGGTGTTTATTAACAAATGTCTACGCAAAATACTTCAGATCCGTTGGCCGGACACTATTAGCACCAACGTACTGTGGGAGAGAACAAACCAGATCCCAGCGGAGGAAGAAGCGCTGGAAGTGGATAGGACACACATTGAGGAAAGCACCCAATTGCGTCATCGACGCAAGTCCTCACATGGAATCCTGAAGGCCAAAGGAAAAGAGGAAGGCCAAAAAAGACACATTGCACCGGGAAATGAAGATAGACATGAGAAAACTGAACACGAATTGGATGGAACTAGAAAGGAAGGCCCAGGACAGAGTGGGTTAGAGAATGGTGGTCGGTGGCCTATGTTCCATTAGGAGCAACAGGCGTAAGTAAATAAGTTCAAATTGATAATACCACGAAAATACCTACCTACATGATTGGCGATGTTTTAATTTGAAATTAGTAATGACCGTTTCCTAATAAGTGAGAACATAAATGAGTACAATCAAATGTATTATAGTACAAAATTACAGAATCTCTTGATATAATATAGGAACCATATTTATTGAATACTTCGGTGTAAAATTTTATCATTTTTTCATTTACATCTTATATAATTCTTCCAAGTCATAATTCCTTCCTATTTCCGTTTCTGTTTTTTCTTCAACTTGATCTGAGTGTTCGTCTGTCAGAGTTCTTCACTTATAATTGGTGTTATATACTACTTATATCTGTCGATATAAGTGATATACACCACAGTTTTATTGTTACTGAAGTATTTGTTTGTGGAAACATACTACATAATGTTTAGGTTGTTAAGTGGTCGTTTTATGTTGACTTGAATGGTAAATATTGTGTGTTGAAAAATGACAGTTTCTTAAGTAACACTTAATTTGATCTGTCTAGCCCTAATTGACTGAGAAACGTGTCCACTAAGAGTAGGAGATATTCATGACTGACTAAGAAGATAT